GATAGAAGAGTGTTTGGATGGAAGAAAGCAGAGAGTTATAACAAATGGTGTTCAGTCAAACTGGATTAATGTCACATGTGGGGTACCTCACAGTTCAGTCTTAGGACCTTTGCTCTTTTTGATTTACATCAATGAAATAGATGATGGAATGGTCAATAAACTATATAAATTTGCTGATTAGATCAAGGTCTTGGGTGTTACTGGCTGTGAAAAGGATGATACTGCCTTACAAAAGGTTTTGGATTATTGGATGAGTTGGGCAAATAAATGACAGATGGCTTTTAATTATAATAAATGCAAAGTGAAGCATGTGGGATATCATGAGTATAATATTAATGGGAATAACCTTAATAGTTTCAAGGAAGAAAAAGAACTTGATGTTCTGGTTGAACAGTCTCTTACGTTGTTCAAGCAAAGTGCTGTTGCTACTGGCAGGGTAAATAGGATTTTAGGTTGTATCTACAGAAATATAGAAAATCTAAAGATATTATTATGTCATTGTACAGATCACCAATTAGGCCATATTTGAAGTACTGTGTTCAATCTTGGGCTTCTTATCTCAGAAACAACATTGAATTGTTGGAAAGGATTCAGAAGAGGGCTACTAGGATGATAACTGGGATAGAAAGTTATCATATGAGGATAGATGATGATCTCAACTTCTTTTCTCTTGAAAAAAGAAGTTAAAGAGGTTCTGATTCAGAAATTTAACATGTTCATGACATTGTGCATCATTAGTGGTACATTAGCATGTTTTTTGTTGGACGTCATGTGCCACCCGTAGTACATAGCACCCATAAGATATAACTGCAACTCAAAGCTCTAAAGTCCTATATGAAAGTATTTATTTTGTATGGATGGCTATAATGAAGCCACTCCTTCCATCATGCACCACTAATGGAGTATGATTGCCATGATGAAAGGACAACTGAAATAAAACAAATGTACATGATTAAATCACTATCTTAAAATTACATCTAGAGACTGGCATTAAATTTTTCATTGTGAGAAAATAAAGCAAAAAAAAACTAACTGAGACTTCTTTCATAAATAAAAAACTGGTGTGAAAACTGTAATATAATAAGAATAGAAATGAAATGCAAAAAAATTTTCATAATGACTAAGTGGAGCAAAAACTAATCAGACAGTTTTTTTAGAAAGTCTTTTGTGAACATTTGAAAAAAAAAGACAATAAATATTTTAATTCATTTTAATTTTCATATATGTTTGTCATTGAAACACTCCAAGCACATTGTAAGCTTCCTATCACAATCCTTGAACTATTATCATCCGCAGTTGGGATTATTTTAACTGATGTCCCTTTTTTACTATCCTAAGATTGTGAAATATTCATGAACAGCAAAATTACTGTGAGAAAAAGAAAATAATATTAAATATCATGATCATTGGATTATTATTATTATTATCTAAATCATAGTGTACTCCCACGAGAAAGCTGTCAATGGAGTTATTCTGTCATAAAACATAACAAAACCATAAAATTAGCAGTGTCTAAGAGTTTACAATGAGGCTTTACGTTTCTGTTGCATAATGAGAGAAATTAAGATTGTTAAGATAACTGAGGGTTGATGCATTATCTTTTTTCATATTTCATGGTGAAAATTGTAAGAATAGAGGATATAAATATAAATTTTAGCAGGGAAGAAGTCATCTTCAGCTAAAACAGCTGTATTTTTCTGACAAGGTGGTTGGCCTCTGGAACATGTTGCCTTAGGATGTGGAAGATGCAGTGAATTTAAGAGAGCTTAAGGGAAAGCTTGACAAATATTTGAATGATAATGGCTTGCTTTGATGATGTTTTTTTTTTAAATAAGGGTTTAGTTTAATTTAGTGGATATGACAACAATGATGAACCAAAAGGTCTGTTTCTTTCCTTTACTGTTACAATTAAATATGTATTAAGAAAACTATGCATAAGTTTGGTGTTTAAGAATTTTTAAGGTTAAAAATTTTCAAAAGCTGAAGAACATAAGATACAAATTTGTTGTAAATACAATCATAAATGAATAACAACTTCAGCATTTTTATTCTGAGGTAATATGATGATAATATTAGCATCATCTGACAGTTTATCATTTTTGAAAGTCAAATGTTGCTATTTGCTTGTTGCCTTGGGCTGTAATGTGCTCTAGCATTTTAAGAGAAATATATCAAAATTCCTACCATTTAACTACAAAGTGGTCTAAGGGAAATATACCTATGTTATAATTGTTGTTCTGTGGTAATAAAGAAATGGGAAAACACAGAAAATAATACTGACCACCGGAGCAGCAAGTACACAGGTGTACCATATATTTGCCTGTACTAAACTAATGGCCAATTATGTAATATAAACTGAGACTATTCATGCATACCTGTACATGAGATAAACGAAATAATCCAGAATAAAAACTCAAAGTTGTAGAGAAATACTGAAACCCATGTTACTGTTAGGTGTGAAAAAGAACTATGAAAGAAATGGAAACAAACAAATATGCAACCCACAACACAAAATGTATTCTATGAATAACTATGTTTAATACATTGTAAACAGCATTGTATTTAAGTTAAGCATGTTGATTATACCATTGAATGCACACAAATATAGAATGCAAAACACTTAAAATCATTGTTGACAAAAAGAATGACTCCATAACCCACACATACAACATATGGAACATCAATGTTTGTCAATAGTTATCAAAATCCAGGATGCAAGCATCAACCTTCACCACACCACCTTTGTCTTCACTTCATCATCTCTGCCTTCACCAGTTCTCAGAGAAAAACTTAAATCATGGCTAATATTCTAATATATATATATATATTAATAGGCCCACTTTAATTAAAAGTAATCAGCCCACTTTAATTAAAAGTAATCTTTTCGAGTGGGACAAAAGGGGATACTGATATACCTGAACATCCCAGTTGAACAAATTTTTTTCCATTTAAAACCAACCACCTGCTATAAATAAAATTAAAAAAAACATAAATAGCATATATTATTTGTCATGGACCTGATTATCTTTGTCTACTAATATAAGTACTGCGATATTGAACTAAACATAAAATCAACGACATAGTAATCATATGAATGTGATGGAGATAAAAACTCAGCATTTATTGTTTGATCAGAAACTGTAGAGTAGTATGCCACGTTTAGTTCATATACATAATGACTTCCTATCTAGTATACTCGACTGACAAAGAGAATCGAAGATGTCTTGATCTGTAACCTTTTTGAGATTTCGTGGAATAGCAATACATACAATACCTATCATTTATTAATATTCATATATCCAGATTCTACAATGAACACAACATGTGACATATATTATCATTAGTGTAACATTTTGTTCTGTACGATATCTGAACAGTATCTAAATTCTTGAGACTTATAGAGATGATATCGAATGTATCACTGGTTTGAAGAAAGATAGTAAAGAATGTTAAAATAATGCCTGATAGATATTTCATACAATAACTTATTTCATTATTTTTTTACAACTGTTAAAATGATTAACAGTACATGCCCTTTATTATAAATCAGTTTCATTGTTCCCACCTCTTATTTTCACTCCACATCTTTAACCTTTTACTCTGATGTGTAGGTTTGATCTGCAGTTAACATGAGTTTTGCAGCTTATACAGTTGTTCAAACCATAACTATAAGACCTTTCTACAATGAGTTACACTTATCGATAAATATGGCCAAATATTATGTCCCAGGACAGCTTAAGAAAATATAAATGAAGCATCTGACCCTTGTAGCAACATTTAGCCAATCTTATGTAAAAGCTTCAACCTCACATATGACATATAGTTCAATAGTTACTAGAAATAATACTATACCTAGAAGTTAAGGAAGGTTGTTTAGTTATATTTTAATTAAAAAGTGCCAGAAATGACATATTGATCAGAATAATGTTGATTATATTTCACCACAAGAAGCCATGCATATATATATAGTTACTCACACCTGGCATATACTTTGCAACAATGTGTGATAAATGTAAAAGTGGCAAATGTTTGAGCTGCAGCTTACTAAAAAGTAATGTTTATAACCAATATCAACTTAAATTTTCATACGAGAGTAGTCCTATGTCCCAAAACACATAAATAATATAAAATTTCATTGTTTTTAATCTATTTTGACTGTTTTCTTAATGTAGCAGCAATAACTTCTATACATAATTATGTAGAGGACCTAAACCACCGATTCATTTAGTTAATTATCATTTACTCTACTCTAATTGGCCTTATAGTTTTGCCGCTCTTTCATCTAAATGAACCCCTGCACATGGGCCAAGTGGCAGAGGAATAGAAGGAGTGTTACTATGCAATTTATTACTTTCTCGGAATGCATATACTGAACTGCGAGCAGGAACAAAACTGTATCATATGGTTCCCTCTCTTTGGACCTCAAAATAATTCCAACAGGCGAGGTGCATGCATCACTTGTTTCAAAGTATGTTTATTTACAAAACTATATAGTTGTATTGTGATACATTGGATTTGTTCTGCAGCAGCATCTGTTACAACAGCAAACAAATTACAAGTTGGAGCTTTATGGAAAAATATGAGCAATTTTGATTCAATGTAGCTTGCTGATAACATTTTGCAAATTTGTAGAGCACTGCCACTATTTTTTTTTTTTTTCTTTTTTTAACAAGCCTTTGCAAATGCTTTCTCAGATTCACCTTTGGCTTTACCTCGTTCTGCACCGTGCACTGTAAACTGCAATTTGTAAACAATAAAATAGCATCATTTTCCTCTAGTACTGGGTTTAATTAATACAGAAATAACATGTCGACTCGTTTATAACTTCAAGATCTTTAACTGTTTGATCTTCATGGTTAATGTCAACAACGATGAACGATGTTCTAAATCATAGTAAATACAGTTGATTTGGGCATGGCTATATATTTTTACCATAGGCCTAACTATCATTAATAATACTTATAACTTATACTGTTATAGTTATAATATATTGTACTTACCGTTGTTTTCTTGTGTAACATTTCTTTTACCATGCAATCCATTAGTCTCTCACGTTCTTCGTGATATCTTCTTTGTTGCTCTAGTATAGTTTCCATATTTACTTTACAAACCTTTAAATTTGTTTAAAACAGAAAATTTGGAATATGTTGAAACATACACTTACTCAACGTACTTAGACCAAGTTCAGTCCTATTTATGAATTAAGAGTTTGAAGCTGACACTCGACGGTACGCAGCACGATCTTTCTTCCCTCTACTTTGTAAAAACAACTCACGTAATCGGATTAAAATATTTCAGAATGTTAATAAATTTTAAGAATGATGACGTTTAAATTATGCAAATTAATGATAAAGAACAATCGATCGCTAAGTTGTGAAAAATTTGAGTCTAAAATGTTTTTAGTTTGATCAACTATAGTTGCGTTTTAACCTAATGCTGGATAATAATAATATACACGAGAATATATAGGAAAATAGTCAACGATGAGGATTATGAAATTTCCATATGTCAGAACCTCAAATAAAAGATGTCAATAACATGTTAAAATTCTATATATCTACCATGTGATAGCCTTTCACGAAATGGCGGGTAATAGAGTATGCGGATATATACATGTTTATCAGAGAATATTTTACATGTTAATTTATTGGAATATAGTAATGCATGCATTCCAATTAATAAACCCGATAATAAATATACATTTATAAAATTTATGGACGACGAGGGACCTGTTGGTTTATCTAGACTGTCCCATCCACTAAACTAAATTTTTAAAAACTCAAAGCCAGTACTTATCGTTGAAATACGTACTTACCAAGCCTTCGCCTTAAACTTTCTTAAATTTACCGCATCAGCAACAATAACCATTTTAACACCTTAGAATAAAACTGTCGTCTACTTTCTTTAGTTATACAGAGATATTTAAAAATTTTCGGTTATTTAGTTTCAATGCTGTGATGGCATCAATACATGGTCCAGAAAGTTGTTAAAGTTACCGTATTCTAGTGTCTTTATACTCTGTAGTAGGTGATCTATTCTATTCGAGGGGATATTGGTTGAATGGTTTAACACTGTAATATCCTTTGCTGGCCATGGTGATATTGACTAGTTGTAGCAGCTGACCAGTGTTGTGAGAGAACAAAAGTCACAAGGATATACTGTCAACTGAACAAAGAAATTGAATTTATTTCGGAATAAAAACGTACTTTCTTAGTTTAACTTTACTCGGTTTTCACTATATGCATTACATTGCGATATTTCCATTTAATTAGCAGTTAGGATAAATATGATTGAAAAAATGAGGAATTTGGGTTTCACAACCCCTTGCTTTCTGAGCCATTGAGTCGAAATTTTGATGTGAAATATCATCTGACATTTTTAGAGAAACACTCCCATAATTTAGATTATAGTAAAACTCTATGAAGCATGCCACCCTGTACTTGCTAAATCTCTGCGCCTATTTACCTGGGAAGATATCGGAACTATGAGCTATGAGAAAGATGTGTTTCATTTAAAAAGCACAAGAATGAATAGCAAGAGCATGGAAACAAAGGACTTAACTGATACTATCGTTAGGAACTGTTGAGAAGTAGATTAATTTTGATAACTGATCTAGAAAGAAAGTATTATTGACAAATGCGGTGTTCCTGTTATTTTCACTAATATTAGCGAGAGAATGTTTCATTATTTACGTTTAAATTTTTAGCAGGTGTTACGACAGCGAGGG